TACTACTGCTGCTACTACTGCTGCTACTGCTACTACTACTGCTGCTACTACTACTACTGCTACTACTGCTGCTACTGCTACTACTGCTACTGCTACTACTACTACTACTGCTGCTACTACTACTGCTACTGCTACTACTGCTGCTACTGCTACTACTGCTGCTACTACTACTACTACTACTGCTACTACTACTGCTGCTACTGCTACTACTGCTGCTACTACTACTGCTACTGCTACTACTGCTGCTACTACTGCTACTGCTACTACTGCTACTGCTACTACTGCTGCTGCTGCTACTACTACTACTGCTGCTACTACTGCTACTACTACTGCTACTGCTGCTACTACTCCTGCTACTAATACTACTTATTATTATGACTTATTAATAATCTTTAATTTATATCTTACTACAGTAGAAACTAAACCTGCAAAACATTCACTTATTTTCGATTAAAGTTGCCCAAAGTATCAAAAATCAGACGCTTAACGATACTAAAACTAGTATTGTAAATAATATCATAACAAACTAGTAAAATAATAAAGTAATATAAAAGAAAGTACTATGATTTAAAATTGAAAATCACACTGTATTGTCTAAAGAAAGAGCGTTTTTTATTATCATCGTGGTAACAGAATCGGTATTGTGTAATGAAATGAAGTTGTTCATCCATTAACAGTTTGTACGTAGTAAATATAAAGGAATAAATAAATAGGTCGTCGCTTATTACTGCAGTCATATCGTCTCTCCTCAGTTCACCCCGTGTGTTTTTCTTTCTTAATTCGAATCAATATAAAACGCCTCTATTGTATCCAGTGTCTCAAGGTTTGTCTGTTTTCTCCTTTGGCTTTTTTTCACATCGAAGAGAAACACTTGAAATTGTTTTCTCAGATCTCCAGGGCTGTTTCAACATTATGCAATATACAAGAGAACTTTATCGATTTGCTTGAACAAACCTTAAAACACAACAACTGATTTAAGTCCAGTTTAAAAGTTGTGTGGAGAAGACTTCATTTAGAGAAAAAACAACATGAGAGAGACAGACAGATGGCATCAACTCTTTTTGCCATTTGAGTGAAATAAACTAGACCAAAGTATGGGTAAAGGTGCACTTTGTAACTTTTTGGTTGAGGGTCTATCACCTGCTTGTTTCTATGGAGATCGCATCGCTCTGCCTGGAATGTTCCACAGTATGACATTAAACAGCTCTACCTTACATTCATTCAGTTACAGGTGCTTTTAGAGCTCAAAAATACTTAGAAAAACTCTCCACAGATCTGACCTGTAACTTGGTTTGGTTTGGTTTCCATGAAGATAAAAAGGTTTAATGCCATACTGTGAAACATTCCAGACAAAACAAAAACATCTCGGAGAAAAACACTTGTCAGACCCTCCACCACAAAAGTTACACAATGCACATTTAAACAGCCAAAAATCTTCCATCCATCAGTTTTCTTCTGCTTATCCAGACTCTTTTCCACCTTGTTATGTCATGTGGTAATACAGGAAGTGCTCCACTTTGTTTTTAAACTCCACACAACTTCAGTAAAATCATTTGGATAATTTCAGACATGGACTTGTCATCAGAGCTTTAAACTACTCCACACATTCATGGTTTGACAATCAGGTACCCCAGAAGAAGTCTTCTACTACTACTACTACTACTACTACTACTACCACTACCACTACAGCCAACAACATCTATAAGTTACAAATACTAGTGGTAACTGTTGATAAGTAACATTAGATTAAGAACTTTTAAGAGCTACTAATCTTACTTCTGGTACTACAACCACTACTACTACTGTTACTACTACTACTACTACTACTACCACTACTGCTACTACCACTACCACTACTACTACAGCCAACAACATCTATAAGTTACAAATACTAGTGGTAACTGTTGATAAGTAACATTAGATTAAGAACTTCTAAGAGCTACTACTCTTACTTCTGGTACTACTACTACCACTACTACTACTGTTATTACTACTACTACTACCACTACTGCTATGACTACTATCAATACTGCTACTAACAACAACTACTACTATCACTACTACTAGTTGTACATCAACTGCCAACAACAACTCTACTATTGTTACAAATACTTGTAGTAACTGTTGACAAGTAACTTTAGACTAAGAACTTTTAAGAGCTACTACTCTATTACTTCTGGTCCTGCTACTACCACCACTACCACTACTACTACGACTATTACTACTACTACCACTACTATTAATACTACTACTACTCCTAGTACATCTACTGCCAGCAACAACTATACTATTGTTACAAATACTTGTAGTAACTGTTTATAGGTAACTTTTCCTCCAAATAGAGGCTGTAAAAGAAATCTGTAGTTTTTATTATGATATTGTTTTTATGTCCATTCTGTCGACTGTTTGATCATTTGGGAAATCACGAGAAAAAGCCACAGTCCAGCTCAGATCAATTCTTCTGCAGCACAAAGGCAGAGCTGGACTCACCACACCACCAGCTCTGTGCCAATTTTCTATTTCACACATTTTTTGGGTTTGTTTTTTCTATTATTTTTTTGGTGAAGTTAAGTCTGATATTTGTAGTATGGTGTATGTTTCTTACTACTGCTACTACCAACAACTACTTACTGATAATAACTAATACTGCAAGAAGTCAAAGTTGTACTCAAAAAATGTACTTTAACATTCAAATATAGAACTACTACTACTACTCTTACTATGAATGCCTACTACCTCCAACTGCTACTGCCACAACTACTAACAAAAACAACTACTTACTATTACTACTACAACTTCAACACTACTACTACTACTTACTATTACTACTACAGCTTCAACCACTACTACTAACAAAAACAAAAACAACAGCAACTTAGTATTACTACTACTACCGAAAACAACTACTTACCATTACTACTCTGACTTCCACTCCACAGATAATTACTACTGTTACTACTTACAACTACTTAACTACTTGCCCACTACTGTGTACTACTACTACTACTAAACTACAACTACTTAACTACTACTTGTTACTAAACGACTTTACTTAACTACGACTACTACGAAAAACTACTACTACTACTACTACTTACTAATAGAAATACATACTACTAACAACCACTACATTACTTCTCCTGCTACTACTACTACTACTGCTACTGCTACTGCTACTGCAACTGTGTTTGACATAAAAAAAACTAAACTAAACAAAACAAACATCAGATCCTCTGGTTGGTGGTGTGATTCTAGCTCCCACATATGAATGCTGTTGTTGTGTCCTTGGGCAAGACACTTAACCCACCTCACCTCCAGTGTCTGTGTACACTGGTGTATGAATGGGTGAGTGGTTCCTTGTTGTAAAAGGCTTTGTTGGAGATGGAAGAGCGCTATATAAAAACGTGACCATTTACAACTACCGCTACTATTCTTTTACAGCACAAAGGCAGAGCGAGACTCGACAGATGATGGGCTTTGGGTCATTTTTCAATTCCCCATATTTTTGGGGGGGGGTTTGTTTTTTATTATTTTTGGTGAAGTGCAGTCTGGTGTTTGTAGTATGGTGTGTATGAGCTGCCAATACCACTGGGCTGAATGCTAATGATCGCCTAACTGTCTGAGAGCTTTCAAAAGCAACAGGAACAGACGCGAGGTGTGAGGGGACCACAGCCAGACTCACATGTGATTCAAACTGGAAGAAAAAATTGGCAAAGTTTAATATTTTCACCAGAAGTTTGTTCAAATGAAGCAAACAAAACACTGGTACATGCAAGAGCAGAGGATCCCACTCCCAGCCACAAGGCAGTAAAGAGACAAATGATAAGTCTACGTTATAGATAGAAAATATAGTCAACAACAACTACTTATTAACAGAAACAAATACTACTAACAACCACTACTTTAATTCTCCTGCTACTAACACTACTACTACTGTACTGACAACTGCTTAGTACTACTGCTACTGCTACTACAACTACTGCTACTACTGCTGCAAGAAGTCGGATTTGTACTCAAAAAATGTACTTTAACATTCAAATAGAGATATACCACTACTACTCTTACTACAACTATCCTACTATATTTAAAGGTATTATGAATGAAAATTAATACTTTTAAACATATCTTCTAGTTGAGGGACTAATACTTGATACTTATGATGAAGAAAAACTACTTTATTACTTCATATACTTAAAGGCCTGTCCAAATGTCAAGGTTTTTTGGTCAAAACTGTGAAGTTTTTATTCGTTTCGTCCACACGGAGCCAGTGTTTCGGGTGGGCAAAAACAGTGTTTTTTGAGAACGGGTTCTAGAGTGGAGAAATCTGAGGACATTCGGCATTGCGTTGTCGTATGGATAAGCAAATCACAACTTTTGGAAAACGATGACGTCACGACCCCGTCATCGCCAGAGTCCACCGATGCAGTGAAGACTGCAGCCCTCAATCTAGCCTCTGCGGACCACAAGACCATTGCCGAAAAGGGACAGGTGTAGCCTAAGGCGCTGCTAACAACACACACCACGCAGATTACGCACACGGATCATTAACAAAATGTACGCACGGGTAATTAAAGTGTTGGATTTTGAGACCAAGTTATTCTAATAATTCTCATCCAAACCTTATGGCTAAAAATGAAAACTTAAGCTTAATTTTTGCAAAACAAAACGTCTATATTTTTGGGCTACATCTAAAATAGGATAAATTACTTTAAAGTTTCAAAAAACAGTGATGAGATATGCATTATTAAATATTATTATCATTGTTTACAGCACCACTTATAGGTGTGGCGTATGTATTACATCGTTTTCACTCAGTGCTCCGTTGTCATCTGCACGTGAATATTTATTGGTTGACACGTGTGTGGACGCAAATTTTTTCAACCCGCAAAAAAAAAATCCAAGAGTGTTGTCGTGTGGATGTAGCCTAAGACTGAACTTGACATTTTTACCCAGTTTTCTTGTATTTAACACCAATATTCTCTTTTATATTGCCGTTTCAGGAGACTACGTGCTGATGACCGTGTACTTTGACCTGAGCAGGAGAATGGGCTATTTCACCATTCAGACGTACATCCCCTGTATCCTCACTGTGGTCCTGTCCTGGGTCTCCTTCTGGATCAAGAGCGACGCCACACCAGCCAGAACTGCTCTAGGTACAGTAAAAAGTCTAATACTCAGACCTGTGGAGTAACCAGCCAAAACATTATGACCACAGACACACAGAAAACTTAAAGGGGTCCAGACCTTAAAGTTTTTTGTATTGTAATGACATTTTTAATCCATACAACCACTTTTAATAAGCCTGGTTTAGACATGTCAGAACAGTGTATAAGGTTTGTGGTCTTAATGTTATGCTTAGATTGTAGATATATGTACTATGTTTGCATGTGTAAATGTGTTTTTGACTTTTTTGTTGCGTGATTTTGTTTCTGTTTTATTGCATGCTTTCTATCAGTTGTGTTGCCTGGGTGTTTTGCATGGACTTGATTCACTGTTGGCAAATTTGGAGGTAAGATCTACAGCATTTTAAGCATCATTGACGATTACAACCGCAAAAGTAATCGCAGTAGAATAGAAATCACAATTTGCAAGGACGCAATTAGCAAATCACAAAGGGTACAATATTTGAAAGCACCATAATTTCCTCCACAAACAACAATATCTCCCTGTAGTTTAACCCGGTAGTTTAGATTTTTACAAACATCTTCTGAAATGTGATTCTTGTATTAGTTTGTCAGTTCATATTTCAGTCTTTTGGTCAATTCTTCTGGATGTGTTTAAAATTTGAACTTTGAACACAATCCTGTTATTAGTGCAATATGATATCAGTCCAATATGTTTATTGTCTTAAAAATAACTAAATTGGAGTGCTACACTGGATCAAAAAAAATTACGCATACAGGTGCTCATCAAAACGGACGGCTTAGATTCTCGTAAAGTAAAAAAAAGTAGTCAAAACACATAGTCACGCCAATGTGTTTTGGACTACTTATGTTTATTGTCTTGTTTTGTCACTGTCTTTGTGTGTTTCAAAAATGGACCATGAGTCTGTAATAAAGATGAAATTAAATAAATGGCAAAGCTAATCTAAATCAAAATGCGGGTAAAAAAAAAAAAAAAAAAAAAAAGAAAAACAAAAATGATATTTTAATTTGATATTTTGCCCAGACCATGCAGCCCTGTTGATGATTACAACTACCAATATTATCCAGTGTTGTGAGTTTTCATCTGTTTCCATGGTAACACAATGCACACATTAGCAAACACTGCCAAAAAAGTTTGAAGATCGTCTGAAAACTCAAGAAAAAATACAGAATGCATTTAAACTGCACATTTTCAGGAGCCTGTGATTGATACAAACGTTCATGGTCCTGTTCAATTAAGGCTAACTTGAATAACTTAGCGCTTCAGACAGAGCAGTGCCTCCTGTTAGCATCACACTCCCAGGGAATATTGATGGCATCAGCTGCAAAATATCAATAAAACCATTTATCATCCACTCCTTCTTCTCCCTTAACCCCGATATGATCTGTACATAAGAAGTACTTGCAGCTCTGAAGCACTGATGCTCAAAGCTATTAATATTATTATTTTGGACTCAGAATATCAGACAAGGTCATCTGGAAGAGTCAGCTACATTATACTACTTAAATCAGACCTCTCTACATCTTTGTTCACTGTGAAATTATGAAAAGCGCTCATAAAATTCCAATCAAAAAGGCAAGGTTAAAGTGGGACAAAACACCAAAGCGCCGCACACATCCACACTGTAAATAGAAAAATAATACCTGGAAGACTAAAGGTAAGCGGGAGGGAAGGGGGCGGGGTCTGGGGTTATAAGGAGCAGTGTGATTGGCTGGCTGGCACCTGGTTGTCATCAGGGCAGTCATGTGTGATGTCACCTGGTACTTGAAATTGCAATGGCCACAGAAGGCAGCATACATTTTCACAGTTTTATACATTTTTGACTAGAAATTTACCAAGTTTACATCAACATAGTCAAAAAATAACTAAGAACAGTAGACTATTCTATTAAAACACACAGTTTAGTCATGAAAAGTCTTAATATATAATAACAAAAAGATAGAAAAATCTGTTGATGACTTGCTATCTCATACTTGCTTCTCTGCAAATTTAATTCATACAATTTTTATTTTTATTTCAAGCTAAATTTAAATTTTAGTTTTTAATTGTGATCCCAAAATAATATAAAAACAAATATCCTTTAAACATAAAAAATAAAAAGACTTTCTACAGTGAAAATAAATTGATGGTTGATTTATTCTGTGACTGAACTCAATTTCACTAAAATGTAAAACTATTTAAAAATATATGATTTATTATTTTGAAATCATCTCTTTTTTTTTTTTTTTTTTCTTTTTTGGCCATTGAAAATTTATGCATGAGACAATATAGCCAGTATTTGTAGTATAGTAAACGAACTGGAACAAATAGTGCCTAAATTATGTTCAAAATCTCAATCTCAACTCCAGCAATCACCATTTTGTCCAAAGCTACACAAAACATGCAACTCAATAAGAGATTAACCTGCGTCTTATCCCGAGTTTACACAGGGATAGTGGACACAGCGGGAATAGAACATAGCGGACATGTTCAGTAGTAAAGAGATCCAAGCTGCTTCACTTCAGATAAACTCCCCAGACAGAAAATCATTTAGCCCTTTCTCTCCCCTGTTTTCTTTAGCCGGGCTTTATCCACTTCCTAAAGGGGAGGACAGATAAGCCACGGCACGCGGCAGGGACCGGAGTACTGGCAGGTGAGGGCTCTTGGCAGGTAGCGGGCACAAAATGTCGCACAGAGGTGGGAGTCGAGTGAGAGAGAAAAGAGGGGGAAAAAAAGGTGATTCTACCTTTGGACGGCGCGCTAACGTGAGCCAGGTGGTCCCTCCGCTGAGCTGTCAGTCAAACAGAAGGTGGTTTCCCGGGAGACCTACAGTAAAGGTGGGATCGGATTAGAGAGGTTAGAAAAACATGATATAAAGGTGTACTGTGTAACTTTATTTTTGGGGGTCCGTCACCTGCTTGTTTCTATGGATATGTCATTGCTCTGCCTGGAATGTTCCACAGTATGACATTAAACAGCTCTACTTCACATTTATTCAATTACAGGTGGTTTTATTACGGAAGCCCTGAGAGGCAAGAGGAATAAAAAAATAAGAGGCTGGTCATTTGGGCTCTATTTTCTAAGTGTTTTTTTTTTTTTTTCCACAAACTCAAAAATTTATTTTTTTTTTTTTCTCAAAAAAAAATAAAAAAAAATAATAATAATAATAATTCCACTTTTTTTTTTGTAAATTTTTTTTTTCTAAAATTTTTTTTCAACATTTTTTTTCTACAAATTTTTATTTTTTTTGTCACGTTGATGTGGCCGATGGGAAAAAAAATAAAATAAAATAAGACACCACTCAAAGCCTAAGTGTTTTCCAGTGTTTTCTGTTTTCATCAGTCACATCAATGGTGGAAAAAAATATATATATATATTTATATTTTTGCGCACCCCTATTTAATGCCATACTGTGAAACATTTCATACAAAACAGTAACACCACATAACAGACGGTCCACCAGAAAAGTTACAGAATGCAGCTTTATAATAGCCTGATTCATCGTCTGACCTCGCAGCATTAGGATTTGTTCGCTTCGTTTTTTTCATTTAACCAATCACTGCTATTTGGTCGTGACATATGTAATGCGCCGCTAACGGAGCTAATTGGTATATTAAGCTTTTTCCAAATCCCATAGGAAGAAGGGCAACAACGTCTTTCCCCTTGATAAAATTCACCAAACATTCTCTTTATTCTGGCTTTAAATCCTCGATCTTGGGAATCGTTGCCAACACAGAACGTATGGCTCTTCGCTGATTGGCTGGTGCCGGGACTCACACTTCCGGGGTTCTTGCAAACTGTCTAGTGTATTCTGATTCCTGACCTAGTCGCTGGAGAGAAATGAAATTGAGCTAGGTGGCGCCACACTGGATAACTTTACAGGTCTATTGCAGGACTTTTTTGGTGGAGGGGACACCATCTGTTTGTCTCCATGTTGCTGTGGGTAGAATGTACCACAGTATGGCATTAAATTTACCAATCTCCATGGAGACAAGCAGGTTACACTACTCGTTACAAGTTATATCTGTGGATAGGCAAGCCCACGAACAGTAAGAACACATGTTTTTCAAGATATGCTCAATAATAAGGCAGGAATAGTAGTAATAATTAAAGAAAAGCTAATGGCGTACCTTCCATCTGAAAAGTTACACAGTGCACCTCTTTAAAAAATGTAGACTCTCACACTGGATAGTCTGTCAGATGTAAAAAAAAAAAAATATCTATTTTGTGTCTAGACTCTTTTTAGAATACAAAAGTTTCAAACTACAAAAGAAAACATTCAAAACGCAGTACCAATTTTGAGACACCAATGACAATAAAAGACACATTGAAAGACAACTCAATGCATTTTTCAACTCAGAAATTGTACTTTATTTATTTAGTATAGGAATGCAGAGTTCTGACATCGATCCAGACCAAACTAACTCAATTCCAATCTCCTCAATTTGATAATATTTGATTTTTTGACAATCTTAGCCTAGACCAGTGACACTCAAAACCCAGTGTATCGTCTTGGTTTTATATTGCTCTATCTTTCTTCATTCACTCACAAAATGGTGGAAGTAAGATACTAACACTTGCCAAAGCTGCCGTAGGGCTGACTGACAAAAAAGTGGCTGCTAATCTGCGCCAATCACATCCACATCTGTAATATTCTCTCCATTTGTACTAGAAATAGCTTTAAACAATGAGATCAAACCAACTGGACAAGCTTGAGTTACTAGAATCACATTTGCACAAATATAAGTGGGTGAAATGTCTTGCCCAATTACACAAAGATAGGATCAAACCACCAACCAATGATTAATCTACTATATTTGTTATATTCTATCCATTTCTACTAAAAATGGAGTTGAGATTGAACCAACTAGACAGACTTCAGTTGCTACAATCACATTTGCACAGACATAGGTGGGTGAAATGTCTTGCCCAGTGACACAAAGCTGGAATCAAACCACTAACCAACATTCGCTCTATCACTTTGACGACTGTAATGTTTTCCTCAAGATAAAATAGCATTAATTTGTAT